AAATGAAGCATCCACACCAGAATCAAAGAACATGAGAGACACTGCAGACTAAAACAACCAGAAAAATCTGCAGTAGCTGAACATGCCCTAAAACGAACTGGACATGAAATTCTATTTCAAAATACTGAAATACTGCACAACACCAGCAATCATTACATCAGACTGCACAGGGAAGCCATTGAAATCCACAAGCACCAGCAGAACTTCAACAAAAAAGAGGAAAGTGTGAAGCTCAACAAAACCTGGCTCCCAGCTCTCAAAACTGCAGCATGCAAAAGGTCAACGAACTCTACCCAGCCACAAGGACAGGGGATCACTACACACAAAAGACCAGTTAATGACACCCATCAACCACAGTGACAGATAATCTCTTCTCCTTAGCACAACAATACACCCACAACAATACACACTAATCACCCATCTACAGAAAAAGACAAAAGCCTATCTCACAGCCATAAATACTGCACTCCCAAGCCAACTACACCAGAGCACAGGTTGCTGTCCTCTGAAGATGCCGGCCACAGAGACTGGTGAAACGTTAGGAAGAACAACCTTCAGAACAAGGCCAAAGAGCCCGAAAAACCCACAACAACCATTAGATCCTAGCCGTGAAAGCCTTCACGAATACAAATCCTCTTGTGTTGTATCTATACCATAAATGTTATTTTTTTCTTTAATTCAGCCATAGGAAGCAGCTAATTTCCTTTATTTTTTAAAAAAATCTTCACATTTCATTGTAGGGGAAAATTAAGGAGGATTGCAGAGTTCCAATGAACTCCTGGACAAAAAAAATCCCAGGGATTAAATCTCTAATTTCAAGATGGCTTTTGACATGAGCAAGAGTTTACACTCTCATTATTGCAAATATCCAACCCTGATTTCTTATTTCTAATGGTTTATTTGTACACAGAAAGAACTATTAGGCTACTAGAAGAGTAGACTCCTTCCCATTATTGGCTATGCGTTCTGCGCATCATTTGGTTTTCACCTTGACTTTTCTTGTGGACAATGTGAGCTCCACTGCATCCCAGCAACCTACATTTTTTAAAAAAAAAGAATCTTTGTGTTATTTTAAACATGCCTTATCTTGAAATACAATTATACTTTAATTTCCAGCTAGGACTTTAGAGGATCCAACTGCAGCCTGGTACTGTGAAACAAATGGTTAGTGGATATAAGACAGAAATTTTCAGTTTGTATTAATCTAACATTTAAAAAGGTTGGAAAAGAGAGGTTGCTCTACCTATAGCCATGGTTCTTCGAGTGGTACTCTGTGAATCCACATGAATGGGTTAAAATGCACCTGTGCAGGCCTCTTCGGAATCTTCTATCTACAGCTTAAACAACTGACAAATAGAACGTTTCTCCATGGTGTGCATGCTCCGCCTGCCCGTGATACCTCAGTTCCAAACGTCTGACGCTGTCATAGCTCTGATAATTACAAAGCTCTAGACAACCTGTGACGGAGAGGGGGAGGTTGGGCGGGACATGTGGATTCACAGAGTACCACTTGAAGAACCATGGTTACAGGTAAGTAACCTCTCTTTCTTCTTCATGGTTTATGTGAATGCACACGAATGGGTGACTAGCAAGCTCACTTGCTAGAAGGAGGGCCATCACGCTAAAACTGAAATCAGGACAGCCCTTCCAAAACTTGCTTCCTTTTTCGCTCCGACATCTTGCCTGTAATGTGTCACAAAGGTCGATGGTGTAGAGCAAGTAGCAGATTGACAAATGTCAGAGACTTCAATGCCACACAACCAGGCAGTAGAGATAGCCACTGCTCTAGTGGAATGTGCCTTCAATACATCTGGTGGAGCCTTGCCAGCCAGCTCATAGGCTAAAGCAATGGCAGAAACCACCCATCTGGAAACTGTCTGAGAAGAGACCACATAACCTTTCCTTGGACCGTGGAAGCAAACAAACAGTCTAGGGCAGTGGTTCTTTACCTTTGCTACTCGGATGTTTTTGAACTGCAACTCCCAGAAACCCCAGCCAGCACAGTTAGTGGTGAAGGCTTCTGGGAGTTGCAGTCCAAAACTCCTGAGTAACCCAAGGTTAAGAACCAGTGGTCTAGGAGAGTTGCCAAAGTCCATAGTTCTAGAAATGTAAAAGGCCAAAGCACTACGAACATCAAGGGAACTCAGAATGCACTCAACATCAGAAGAGGGATTAGGAAACAACGTTGGTAGAATCAGAGGTTGATTAACGTGGAAACTCAAAATCACCTGAGGGTGAAAGGACACATCAGGATATATGATGACCCTGTCCGGGTGAAATTGTATATATGGGGCATCAGACCGTAGGGCAGCCAACTCACTTGCTCTCCGTGCAGACATAACAGCCACAAGAAACAAAGTTGTAATTGAAAGAAGTTTTAGAGGAACAGAAGGCATAGGTTCGAATGGCAGGCGCACAAGAGCCTGCGAAACAGTCTGAAGAGACCACTGAGAGATTGGAGGCCATACAGGTGGACAAATGTTACGCAGACCCTGAACGAACCTCTTCACAGTCAGGTGCGAGAATAAGGAGGAAGCGTCTGAACCCACAGGCTGATAAGAAACAATAGCTGAAATATAAAGCTTCAGTGTAAAATGTGCCAGCCCTCGATCAAACAGATAACGTGGTAAAGCGAGAAGTGTATCTAACGAAGCTGGAACAGCCAAAAAACCTCTGGAAGCTGAATTGATACGCTGACTCCATGAAGACGAAGCGGAGATATTTGTGATGACACTTGTGGATGGAAATATGAAAGTAAGCATCCTGTAAATCTATCACCACAAACCAATCGCCTGGAGAAAGAAGCGGAATGACCGACTCTAAGGTGACCATTCGGAAACGCTTTGGACGAAAGTAAGTACTGAGGAGGCTGAGATCTAAGATTTGTCATAGTCCACCATCTTTCTTGGGAACCGTAAAATAGCAGGAATAGAAGCCGTCTAGAGCTTCTTGAGAAGAAATGCATTGAATAGCATGCTTCTGGAGAAGAACAGAGACTTTGTTTTCCAGAGCCAGTGAGTAAGCTGTGATTTTGAGGTGACCAATGGGAGGAAGGTCAGAGAACTCAAGAAGGTAACCAAAACGTATGATAGTGAGCACCCAAGTGTCTTTGGTGATTATAGACCACTTGTCGAAGAAAGGGGCTAGCCAGGGAGGATGGGTTAGGTCGATAGAAGGATTCAGATGAGGAGAGTTAAAGATATTTTTCTTTGCAAGATGACAGAAAAATTGGCGACGCTGAGTTCTGCGGCGGTGGTACAGAGCTGTCCCTTTCAGAAAGTGAGTCAGGCTCAGGAAGCTCCTTGAATGATTCCTCAAGTATCGGTGAAGGCAGGGAAACGTGAACTGGAGGGAGTTCCTTAGGTTGCATAGACTTAGAAGACTGTTTAGCCTTCTTATGCTTAACCACCTCCTTCTTTTTCTTGGGGTCTTTAACAGATGTCAACAACTTCTTCGATTTGGATGACTTCGAAGAAGGTCTCGAAGAAGGGGTAGTAGGAGCTGGCGAGGCAGCAGGTTCAGGCCAAGAAGTGGGAGGAGCAGGAGTTACGGTAGGTCCCATGGCTGCCAAGCTCGAGGGTGTTAAC